CCATAGCACACTGACATCGCAGTAACGTACGTGGTTCAAAATTGCCTGTTGCTTCTTCATCCGTAGATGATTTTAAGGTGAATAGCCAGCTCGCCTATTCGTCAAAACAATTTTAAGCAATACATTCATGAGAAGTGGAAATTGCAACAACAAAACGAATTGGTCGATAAGAACAGTAAAGTTGAAATGTAGCTATGTACTGATATTTTTGTTTATTGCCCTCTTTTCAAGAAACAGGGCGAAGGCACATTTGTGTTTTGCCTGGCTAGCATAAGTTCTGACAGAGTTTTTTCTTCAGGAGAGCACTGAAATTGCACCCTGAAAGCTGTAACATCTTTCTCAAGCGAAGAAAATGTACTCATGAGGGGGCACCTACTATTTAACATTCAAAGTAGCGAACACCCGTGAAATTTTTTTTCATGGGTCACCTCGCACGGAGATAATCAAAATCAATCTGTTGTGGAGAATTCGTCTGCTATCGAAAACTCCGAGCTCGCTATGGGCGCTGTAATCACTTTTTGCCCGCGCTCCGCTAGAGTTGCCAGTATCGGCTTGCATGGTATTTGGTCAAACAGTGCATGCTGCCCGCAGACACCCCTCGCAACGCTCCGCTTCGCTCGGCAAAAACTTTAATATAATCTCAAACCCCTGCTTGCGGCGAGCCTCTTGATACCCGCCAAGGGTTCGCCAAGCGACCAGTTTCCGCTCTCTGTCGACATACACAACGGCGCTTCCGACTTCGGCTAGCGTTGCGGAATTCACATAAGCGGACGACTTTCTGAAGAATCTATGGCGTTGCCTGCTGCTGACTTCAGACACTGCGTTTTCGCGTTCCATCATAAACAAAAGGTTTTGCTGATAATAGCAGACGGACTTTATCATGCGGAAGGAGACGATGAAATGACGAGAACAGCTGCATACTTGGCCTCTTACGCTTTGCTTTTCAATGGGCGGAACGGGGCAAATCGAGTTTGAAATAAAAACTTGACGCAGATGGGTGATCTTCTCCAGCACCTAACATTTTTACGATATTTACACAAAAATTTGTTTTTATTTCGCACTTTGTGCGAAGTTTCCTAATTGTGCTGAGAGTGGGGCTAAACTACCGATGTGCCCACAAAACAAACAAAAATATCTGTAGTACTTCGATATCATATACTTGTTTAGACGACTATTTTGGCAATTGTGATTGTTAAAAGAGTGAGCATGGCTATGCTCCGCGAACAGTAGGCATAACACGTCTATTGAAAGCTAGTTGTACGATGAAGGGTATAGGCCATTTCAATGTTTGGCAATCAATGCTTACCTGTCCGTGCGGTTACAGGTTATACATTTTGAACAAAAACTAAAACTTAATTTACGTTTGAAATATTTATACTGCGAGAGCTCAGTCTCGGCTTAGAATAAGCCGAAGCAGATTCGGCTTTGTGGAGGAACAACATAGCCACTGTACTGTAACAGCTGGGGTCTTTAACGTGAATCACGCAGTCGTGGTGTATCTACCCCACACCGGAATGATGCACATTCACATCGAAACCGGCAAGACGGGGAGAAAGCTAGTCGGGTTCTGCAACAAGAACGTTCGGGTCATAAGGTCTTTGCTGCTGGGCGCTGCTCTAACATACTTGACCGCAGAGTGGACGTATGAACTAATGTTAGTTTGAATGGAATTCAGCGCTTCATGTCTTAGCAAGATATTTTGTACATTTGTGGCGAAGAGGTGCCCTTAGTCTAGCTTGATATACTGAATCTATTCGTTCATTCATTCAACTCTTTATTTTCTGTGCTAAGGACCGATAATGCCTGAATAATGATTGAAAACCACATTTTGGGTGCCAATAATGCCTACACTATTTGTATGGGTAACGAAACTGGCGAAATGTGTATTTAACAAAAAAATTTCAAAAACGCTAAATAACGAGCGATAAATACAAGTACGAAAGTGGCAAACAACATTCGCGGCATATTTTGAGAAGTTTACAAATAACATGTTTAAGACTCGCAGGAAATAGTTAAATATTAGTAAAAGGGCGCTTGAACATTTGCATAGAGGAGTTGAAGTTGCCGATGCTGATTGTACAGAACGTGTTATAAAAATGTTGTAATAGGTTCATCGGTCTGGATAGATTTATCTTTCAAACTGAGAAAGTGGGAGTCACTCGTAATATTACCCTCGGTATATAGAGGTCGATATTCGACGCCAGGCTCGGATAGTCTACTAAACTGTGCAAACATTAATGCAAAAAATGAGATCACTCTAGTTTTCTCGTGTTTAGTGCCAGACAACCGTATCGTCTCCAAAACTCGCATAATTGAAATGAACAGTCCGACCAAAGTGGTGGAGTAAACAATAAGAAATAAAACAACTTCACTTTTATATCATTGGTTGGTTACTAGAACCATTGCAATTCCAAACGGCCAAATTCCGCTCAAGTTTCGTACGCATTTGATTGTACAAATTCACAATAAAAGTGCTTGCGAAATACTAGAAATAATGCTTAACGCTGGAAACGCAAGATTTGTAATATTCGAAAGATCTTAATTGAAAGACAACGTTTATTTAACATATACTCCTAAACCTTTCTGGCACTCAGCCCTACGTAGAGGGGACAAACCTACTGTTTTATTAGGATTTAGAGCTATATTGCGGTCGCACCAATGATGCACCACATTAACAATATTCATTAGTATTACACAGTCGTGACTATATGAAACCTTCCGAAACAAAATGATGCCATCAAAATATTGTAAAAAATATTTGAATGGCGGAAACAGAAGCTCAGATCCTTTATGAATACATTTAAAATAATTGGCTATAGCATATGAAGCCTTGCGGCACATTCGAGTATGATAGATAAGGAATAGAATGGTATCAAAACAATTAAACAAATTGTCTATTTCTGAAAAATAACTTACAAGTAAATAGAAAATTTTTTATCCACTCCATATGACCTTAATTTATGTAAAACCATTGAATGATCAACCCAGTCAAAACACTTCTAAAATAAAAGTACACGGCATTTTTCTGTCCGCGCTCACTGATAATCGGTGGCACTAAGGAATGATACCAGATTGGTCTCTACAGCTATAGCACTGGGAAAACCATGTTGTGAAATGCTTTCTTTTCTTTTAAAATATTGCATTTCCCGGTCATCACTACAAATGCAGGTAAGCGGGAACGCTCTGAGGGATTGTAATGATTACAATATAAATATATTTATGATAATAACTAAAATTTGAAGCGATTGAGCCAGATGATAGACATAAAGCAGCGAGTGTAAATGCGAGTTTGTGGATGTTGATCATGTTGATCATGTTGAAAATTTCACAAGACTGTGGTAAAATTTTGCATACCTTTTTTATAATAATAATAATACATTTTTATCAATGATACATTATAGATGAAGGAGGCCGAGGAAGAAAGCTGTTCATAGACGGCTTGACGAGCCCTCTGCCCCCTTATCAGACACAAAGAAGTATTTAAAAAGGTACAAAAGGAAAACAATTAATTATGCAGTCCTATTATAAAAATCAGCAAAAAGCACAAACAGCAAACACACACACACACACTATCGTTGAACAAATAAAAACATAGGACGTAATTCAGAAAATGAAATTGTTTCGATAGTTTTTTTCTTGTCTACATAATTCGAAAACTTAGGAAGCGTAAACTTGAGCATTTGATAGCCATATAGTTAGTTTTAGATCTAGGAACTTTCCAGCATTCGACAAACGAGTGCAGTAAGCAGGCATAGAACACTCTAAGGGGGCTAATTCAGTCAATAAACTTGATTTCCTTCTGTGTCCAAGCTTGTAATTGTATAATGTTTTAATATCAAGCACTTGAAAGCGTTCAAATAGTTGTTCAGTAAGAGAATTTTAGAGAAAACCTGAAAATAATTCTTCAGAAGTTTTCTGTAATGTATATAGTTTTTTTTTTTTTTTTTAAGTTTGTGGCAGTAGCAGTGCCCCAAACCAGATGGCAGTATGTTAAGAACGAATAAAAGATCGAATTTTAAATTAATACTTTGACAGAGGCTGGGAGCACAGATTTATGACGATATATTAATCCTTTAACACCTGAAAACTTAGAGTTAACATGTTCAGTGTGGGGTAGTTCGGAGTTTGCTTTGATAGTGTGCAGTTCTTATAGTTCGGGCGTTATTGTTCAATAACTGAAGTTTCTAGTTCCAATGTGCGGTCACAGCTTTGCAGTAGCAGACGTTCAGACAGTCTCTTTCCCGTGTCATTTTGCTTCAACTGAGTTTCGTATCTTTTACCACAGAATAAGTTCATTTTCAGTGAGATAATAATACAGGTCGTCCGACTAGCTCTATTTTATACACTTTTGAATTACACTAGTCCTAGAAATTGCAAAGAAGTCAACTACAGTGAAATAACTGGCATGTCCGCTGTATGATTACATGACCGGCAGTTCTCAGCAATTACCCATACCTTTAGCTTAGAACATACTGCCTAATGTTAGATCACACGTCGCCGTGCTTTCTGTAGAACAAATTTTTAGCCTCATAAGAATGCGCATGTTCGTCTGCAGGCTGAATCAATTATGAACTATAATTTAGTGGAAATATTCCAGCCAAGTAAACGATTACGGTTCTCGTTCTTAGCATTTGCTTGAATGGCACTACCACTTTCTTATATATTATGTTGGATAGCACTGATAACATTTAGGTTCAAAATTTGGTTTCGTCTATTCTGGCTTTTTACGAATAATATTAAATAGATAACGTGCGCCTTAAATACATATATTAGAATCGTTCTATTTATCGTTAAAATTAAGGATGGATATTCGTAATTATTATGATTGAAATCCGGGATACACTCAAAAACAAAGTATCAGACAAATCCTTTATATACATTTAAAAAGGGCAGGCATTCTCAGGGCAGATAAATTTTGTTTAAACATATAGCTAATTATAGTATTTCGAAGGTTTAGTTAACGAAACGCATTTATCGGGAGCTTGAAAAGTTTTGCTTACAGTTTTCTTGGCTTTGGGTTTAAACATTTTGTCCACATAAAGACGACCTATTGCGTGTGTCATTAAGTCTGATATACTGGTGAGGCACTTCTGCCACAATGGTTTGTCTTCTTTTACGCCGAATGCCTCTTTATTAAAGTCAAAGAAGAGCTTGTCAAGCTTTTTAGATGCCACAGCACCATTAGCTCGAATCGTAGTCCAGTGCACAAAATTGTACAGCGTAGATCTGCGGAAAAAATTCACCCGATCACGTATATGTTAGAATGACGTTTGTGATTATGTCGCCACATTAATCCAGCGTAAGTGTTCACCTCTATGCCTAATATTTTTCCTGACCGGCGCTTGTCCAAATAAGCAGGGATTGTAGGACAATACCATATATACACCCAAAATATTGCCACTCGAAACTCCTAGCAAGCGCGCCCATGTTTTACGTGTTTGATTCCAACACTAATGGTCCCAGGTTCGATGACTTGGAGCCGACGCACGTCTTAGAGCGCAGCTCTTAGGGGCCCGTTCCCGGCTTGAGCGGCGTCGGCGTCGCCGTTGGCGTCGCCGTCGCCGTCGGCGTAACCAAGGTCATCCCAAGGTCACGTGGCCCCCCAAGGTCATCCCAGGGTCACGTGACCCCCCAAGGTCACCCCAAGGTCACGTGACCCCTCCCCAGGGTCACGTGACCTGACACCCAAAGTCACGTGACCCCCCTGAAGTCACGTGACCACCCCAGGGTCACGTGACCCCCGCCGAGGTCACGTGACTTCCCCGATGACGTCATCGTCACTGATGACGTCACTGATGACGTCATCAGTGATGATGACGATGACGATGCGGATGCCGGCGACGTCATCAGTGACGTCACTGATGACGTCATCAATGATGATGACGATGACGATGCGGATGCCGGTGAGGTCATCAGTGACGTCACTGATGACGTCATCAGTGATGATGACGATGACGATGCGGATGCCGGTGACATCATCAGTGACGATGACGTCATCGGGGAGGTCACGTGACCTCGGCGGGGGTCACGTGACCCTGGGGGTGGTCACGTGACCTGGGGGTGTCACGTGACTTCGGAGGGCATCCGCATCGTCATCGTCATCATCACAGATGACGTCATCAGTGACGTCACTGATGACGTCACCGACATCCGCATCGTCATCGTCATCATCGCTGATCACGTCATCGGAGTCCGCATCGTCATCGTCACTGATGACATCATCGGCATCGTCACGTGACCCCCCAAGGTCACGTGACCCCCTAGGTCACTTCACCCCCCAGTACCTTTCCCTCCTCCTCCTCAAGAGCTGCGCTCTAATTCGGTGTTACAGGGAGTTGTAAACGGCTTTCACTTTTTATTATAACCATTAGGCCACGCGCGCGCTGCATACTTGGCCAGCTGCGCGCGCGCGCCAATATTATCCACGATTGTATCTTTGATGTTTGTGAGTGCTAGTTCGGTGGATTTTCATCTTTGAAAGCCATACTAAGCTGCGGTAATGACATTATGTTTATTAAAAATTTTACGGGTTTATTGTTTAAATTGCCTTCGAAAGTTTTTGAGAAGATGGACACCATTGATATGGAGACGATCGTTTTTTAGGTGATTCCTACCTTCCCCTTCGTATGCAGGGTTAATTCTCGCAACCTTCTAGTCATCAGGAAAAAACCCCGTCGCAAACATGCTGGTTATAATGTTGGATGGAATGTTGCTTATTGTAGATGATACCTTCTTTTTTGTTATTCCTGTAAATCTCACGTTCCTGTAAATGTACGTTCTGGTAAATGCGAGAACGCTTTTCCTATTTTGGGGAGCGAGTGTGCTACGCACCGAACCTCCTACGCCGTTTGTTCCAGAGGCCCGCGCGAGTACTGTCGGGGCCAAATGTTTGGATAAGACCGGAGCGCCGACCAAATTGCATCGCCGCGCTTCCTCACTGCGCGCTGCCTGCTGCCGAGACCGGCGCAGTGCGCACGCGTGTGCTTTCTTATCTCCTGGCTTGCTCGTTTGCTCGCTTCAGCGCGAGGCGCTGCGGTTCGAATGAAACGGCGTTAGATGCTGCTCCAGCAGCCGTGATTCAAAAATCTCGCTCTGAACAGCGGCTGATCGACCGATCTCGCGTGCACTGCTGCACGGGCAGTTCACGCGACTCTTTCGAGTGATTGGGCGACGTGTTGAAAACAATCGTCTTGTTTTTTTTCATTTTTTTTATAATTTATAGAACAATTTGACTTCACCAGCCAGTTTTGTTATACCACCGGAGCCTTCATGGATCGTGGGACTAGTCTTTTTGCATGGAGGCCAGCACAGCTGTGGTTCTGTGGCGTGAGACCTCTATTGGGAGGGGATTGAACACTCACGCCTCTAGTGGCCCAATAACTGTAGTCCGTAGGATGGAGGCGGCAGGGCACGAGACAACTTGTGCTGTTTCGTGCTCTTCTCGTGCCGACTTGCAGCGGGGTGATCGCGCGTTCCGAAAGACTGCCGCTCACACGATGCATGCCGGCAGCGGCAGAGTAACGAAACTGGCTGATGAGATCAGTTCATTTGCGGATGGGAAGCGTTGAAAATAACGCAAAATAGAAAACAAGTGTTTTTAGCGTGTCGCAGTGCCGCGTGAGAGAGTCCAGTGAAATGCCCGTGACGCAGAGCACGCGAGCTTGGCCGCTCGACCGCTGTTCAGAGCAACGTTACTCGATCAACGCAGTTGGCAAACTCCCACGGAGAGCCGTGATCCCTTCCTGCACCCCTCAGCCGGGCTAACGCTGTTCGAAGCGCCAACCTTCTTGCTCGCTACGGCGCGTCTTGCAACAGCATTCAAAACACGGCCTCAGCGGGCATGAAGCATGTCGCTTCAAACAGCCTTTTGAATATAGGGGTTATCAGCGAAAACTGACGTATGTCAGCGCTTGTCTTGGAAGGGAGAACGCTCTCCGTGGAGTTTGCAAACTGACTTGATTGAGCAACGTTGGTCCAGAGCGATGAGCAAAGTTTGTGGAATCACGGCTGCCGGAACGGCGTCTTCCACTGTTTCAATCAAACCGGAGCGCATCGCCTTGAAGCGAGCAAAAAAGCAGGCCAGCAGATAAGAAGATATGCGCGATCACACTGCCCGGATCTCGGCGTCTGCAGGCGACGCGCCGATAGGGAGCGCTGTGATGCAATCCGGTCGGCGGTACCCATGCCGCGTACCCGTCCGGGGCCCCACAGTGCTACCCCGTTCCCCAGCGAAAGAGGACTTTTTAGGAAGGCGCCGTCGCACGAGCAACCCGCCGTACTAAGCGACAAACCCCGGAATTCGGCCCTGTGCCACAAAAGCAAAGTAAAAAGAACGCGACGATGACTACCCCACCCGTCGTCATCCCCCCGCCACCCCCCGGACACCGGCTCCTTTCCACGGCGAAACCTATGAAGACATCGGCAACTGGGAGCAACAGTAAGGACGAGTGGCCCTCCATAACGCATGGAAACCGAACCAGTGTCTTCAGAACGTTTACTTCGCTTTGGAGGCCAAAGCATGGAACTGGTTTGAAAATTATGAAGCGTCCATCACCTCCTGGGACATCCTCAAGCCTGAGTTCCGAAGTAGGTTTACGAACCAACAGCGAAGAAAACGCGCAGAAGAGCTTCTTCAAGCGAGGGTTGAATTTTCTAACGAGAGAGTCGTTAGGTTTGTTGAAGATGTTCTTCGGCTCATGTAACCTTTCGGATTCTAACGCCCCGGAAGCAAGGAAGCTGACGGTCAGAATGTGAGGGGTGAAGCAAACTCTTCGTAGGCCCTGTGCGAAACCCGCGTACGACAATCGAGGCTTTTATAACGGAAGCCACGAACATTGAGCATGCTCTCCTCGCCAGAGTCAGCCACTACCAGAGGCAACCCGGCGACAGTGGTGTTCGATAGTTTCCTTGCGATCATTGCCACAGCATTGCGGGCATTCGCGAGCTCATCCACGACGTCGTTCGTTACGAGCTTAAGAAGCTTATGCCGACTGCTGAGCGAACGGCCTCAATCTCCATTGCCGAGTGTTTTCGTGAAGATCTCCAGAAAGCGTTCCTGCCAGACGCCCCTGAAGCCGCGGCCGCACCCGAAGAGTCGACGCTGACCTACGACGCAATGGTCCGACGACCACCGCGACGGGACTCACGAATGTCGCAACGAACGAAGTAAATACGACCGCCGAGACCATTTTGCGCCAAGCAAAACCGACGTATGGAGAACTGCAGATCGACGACAAATCTGTTGTTACTGTGGTGAAGCGGACCACGTTTACGAACATGCCCCTACCGCCGATTTGGGCTGCGTGTGTTACACCCGAACGACCCACGCCCGAAGTACGGCGAACAGCCTCGCGACATCGGGGAGTACCTCCGACGCTCGCCATCCTCCGCGCCGTCTCCCTGCCGAGAATCCCGCTCACCATCGCCACGACGTTCCACCGTCTCCAGCGCCACAACCCTGTCGAGAAAGCCTGTCTCCACTGCGTCGCCGGGAAAACTAAGTGCGGCAACGCCTGGAGGTGGCGTTCCCGAAGACGACCGAAGTAAAGAGCCCCACAGAACGCTGGAGCGATCTCACTCTCCCGACGCCACGCAACGCAACGACGCTTGTGCAACGGTGCCCGATTGCCAAAACGTTGTTCCTGACGGCCACGACGCATAGACACTCGAGACACCGGAGCAGACTACTCAGTTTTGAGTTGGAGACTCTCTCACAGTCTTCGGAAAGAGACGACGCCGTGTGATGGACCTCAAATACGAACCGCCGGAGGGCACCTCATTATACCAGTCAGGAGATGCACTGCTCTCATCGAGATCCACGATGAGATGTGCACTGTGATGTTCGTCCTTGTGCACGTCTTTGCGTTGGTCGATACCCTCGAAATGAACTTTATCAGCGAGTATGGCGCCGTTGTCGACCTCGGGGCAAACCAATTGACGCTGCGAAAGTCTGTCATGTCGCCGGTGGAGCCGAACAGAACGTCAGTCGCGAACCGAGTAACGACCGATCATGTGAACCTGCCGGCGCCGTCGAGTTCTTTCTTCCCATCACAACCGACGCAGCCTTGTGCGGTGAAGCTCTTCTGGAAGGCAGCGTTCAACTGTTCTTTGTAAAAGGAATCGGCGTGACACGAGGCGTAACGGATCTCCTGGAAGGACGTACTACGAAGAGCTCTGAGAGCAGTCGTTGCACGTAGCAAAGGGTACCACCATGGGCAACGCCGAGA